TTCAGAGAAAGATGCGAAAATACAGAATACGAAATGCTTCTTGAAGAGCGCTCTGAAGGCCTATAACTCGCTGACTTTTGGGCCGACAGAGGACAAAACTGACATCAAAACGGTCATGATGAAAATGAAAACTCTCTGTGTTGGAACGAAGAACGAGACCTACGAACTTTACCTTTTTAACGTTCGGGTGCAGAAACCAGGTGAGAAGGTAGATGACTCTAGAAGCTGAGTTACTCAAGCTTTCTGAGAACTGTAATTTTGGTACATTGAGAGATTTTCTCATCAGAGATAGGCTGCTCATGGGTATCAGGGATTCGGCTGCTCAGAAAAAGCTGTTGTATGAAACGAAACTCACGTTGGAAAAGGCACTTCTCGTGTGCCGGTCAAGCCACGGTTTCTAGACTTCAAGGAAGATCAAGGAGCTGATCTGTGCTGCGCCAGTGCTCATGCTCTATGACCCTTCTCGCGAAATACGCGTCACTGCGGACAGTTCCTCATATGGACTCGGGGCTGTTATCAGGCAAAAGGATTCGGACGATCAGTGGAAACCGGTGGCCTTCTCATCTAGATCGCTCGCTCCATCAGAAACCAGATACGCTCAGATCGAGAAGGAAGCGTTGGCTTTAACCTGGGCATGCTGTCGCTTCAAGGACTATCTAATTGGGCTCCGTTTCACGCTTGAGACGGACCACAAGCCGCTCATTTTGCAACTCGGATCAAAATCTCTGGAGGAACTGCCGCCACTTATACAGCGTATGCGTATGCGACTCATGCGATTCTCGTATGATATCGAGTATGTGCCTGGAAGCAAGCTCTATATTGCGGACACTCTTTCGCGTGCGCCGACCACACCTGCCAAGAAAAGCAAGGATTACGATCTTTGTGAAGAGACTAACGCGTATGTCAACTTCGTGATTGACAACGTGTCGGCTACGGACGTTCGGCTGCGACAGATTCGCGAACATCAGTTGGAGGACGACCTATCCCGGCAACTGCGTACGTATGTGGAAAATTGTTGGCCTGCCAAGTGCCAACTTACATCTTTGCTCCAGCAATACTGCGCTTACCAGGCAGATCTGACCATGGTTAAAGGTCTACTACTGTATCGCTCTCGCATCTTCGTGCCCTCATCCCTTCGTCTGGAGATGTTGGACCGTCTGCACGAAGGGCATCAGGGGATTGTGAAATGCCGCCAGCGCGCTCTACAGTCGGTTTGGTGGCTGGGCATTTCCCGTCAAATCGAAGACCTTGTGAAAAATTGTCGCGTTTGTAGCAAAGCTGAGCGAAATCCGATGGAACCGCTTCGTCCCTCAGTTATGCCTACCAGGCCTTGGCAAAAAGTCGCGACGGATTTGTACGAATTCAGATATGATCAGTATCTGATAGTAGTTGATTACTACTCGCGATTCATAGAGATGGCGCGACTCAACGACTTGACCAGTCAGACTACGGTCACCCATCTCAAATCGTTCTTTGCTAGGCACGGGGTTCCGGAGACTCTTATGAGTGATAATGGTGGCCAGTACACTGCAGATGAGTTTGTTAGATTCGCACGCGACTACGGGTTCCAGCATGTTACCATGAGTCTTCACCATTCTTCAGGATATGGGGAGGTAGAGAGAGCGGTAAAAACGCTTAAAGGTCTGCTCAGTTTAGCTGCAGACCCCTACGCGACGTTGCTGAGCTATCGTAGCACACCTGTGGCTTGCTGGTTTAGCCCAGCTGAACTCTTGTAAAATCGTCGTATTTGGACCAAAATCCCTATGGTTCCTGAGAAGCTGCTACCAGCTGTTCCTGATCCCGTTGTTCTCCGTGGAAAGGATGGAGTGGAAAATCATCGCGCTAGAGATCTCTCTTAGTTGGAAGAAGGCTAAGAAGTGTACCTGCCAGGTCGCCAGGAGACAGAAGTCGTCGAAAACAAGGTGCATGATCGGTCTTATGTGGTGAACACACCACCAGGACAATTCAGGAGAAATCCTGAGTTCAGAGTCAGAGAGTCCAGATCAATAGGCTACCAGAGACAGACTCCCCGGACTCAGCATGGGAGATGAAACCTGCTAGTGGTGGCTCTAGTGTCGTAGGGGAGCCTCCCACGTATGTTACAAGGTCTGGCCGTGTATCAAAGCCAAACCCAAGATATGTAGACACCTAAACTCCTGCGTTCCGGGTCTGCATTGCAAGCTTAGTATGAGTGTAGGCGGATCGCTGCTCATTGCTTGCAGAGTCACAACCGGTGACTCTAGTGTTATATAGATTCAAGGCAGGACAGGTTACTAGCCTTTCTATTCAGAGTTTATGGCAGTTATATTTTGCCAGGTTTACATTAGTCCTCGGGGTTTGGACTTATTATCCTACTCTTAGCCTCACTTAGTACATACGTTGCTAAGAACTGAACTAACACCGAGTTATATGAGGCTTGTTTGTTTTCAACAGATTCAATTTATTATGATGCTCAAAATAAGTGAGACCACATTTAGTTGAAAAGTTAGCAGTTGGTTTATTCGGAAGTATATGTGATTCAATAGACAGATTTCAATACAGTCTCCCATTTATCTCACAGACTCAGTGGACTGTCTATCAATCTTAAAGAAAGGGAGATGTGATGTTGGCACACTACTGTGCAGTGTCGCCCTCTATGAACGGGTTGCTTCCGCTATGTTTGTAATGTGCTACAGCATAGAGCCTTATGCGCATGTGCAAGCCCGCGTAAATCATAATGGCTAAGTAGTTAACAGTAAAGTATCGTTTGTCACAAGTCAGTGTCTTTGTTGTCACTCCGCTCGTTCATCTTGACAGAAGACTTAGCTCTAGTACTATAGCCCGCGTACAGTTGCCGCAGGCAATAGTACTATAGTACTATACCCCGCGGCAACTGTACGCGGGCTATAGAACTAGAGCTAGAGCCTGCTGTGCATATTAGTTGACGTTTTCAGTTATAATATTATATTATTTTTCTCTTAGTCATTGATCATGCATGGTAAATGCTGTGCCATAGTTGGTTGTGGTGCATGTTCAGGACGCAACAAAGGTTTAAGTTTACGTCTATTAGAAAAGAATCCCGAGTGGAGACGTGCCCTGGCAGAAACAGGATTGACAAGTCATTTATGATTTAATCCTAATACAGCAACAATTTGTTCGAGACATTTTGAAGAAAGCTGCTTTATGTCAGGTAAGGCCAGTGTATTTCTTG